CCCAGCTTTGCCCTCTTGACTGCAGTATATCAGGTTACCATCAGGTTGTTGATGCTCTGCTTTCTCTCACCTATGATCTTTTACTCTGCCATTCCCTGTGCTTACAGAATGCGTCCACCCTTTCCTGCCATCTCATCCTTCAAGTATCAGCTTAGTTCTCTTCATGAATTTGTTCAACAAACATTTTTGAGTTGCCCGGTACAGTGTTTAGAAGGTGATAAAACAATCATCCCTTGACCTCAAGCAATTCCAAGTCGAGTAGGGGAGACTGTATCAAAGAAGGCAATAGTACCCAAGAGATGTCAGCAGAATGTTGGAGGCCATGAAGTAGGTGGACTCTGAGAAGTGCTTTAGCACACGTAACAAACTGAGCCCTAGGCTTGTGATAAGAAAAGCCAGGGCTGGGGTTGTGGCTCAGTGGTAGAGCACTTGCCTAGCATGTGTGAGGCACTGGGTTTGATTCTCAGCACCACATATAAATAAATAAAATAAAAAGAGGTTCATTGACAACTAAAAAATAAATAATAAATAAATAAATTTTAAAAACAGATTAAAACATTTGAGAGAGAGAGAGAGAGAGAGAGAGAAGCCAGCAAGAAGAAATTCAGTTCATACAACAGACATTCAGCAAAGCTCAGGACTCTGAGGCACCAGGTATTTTTGAAGATGGGGGTGCGAGATGGAGCTGAAAAAAAAGGGTTGGTGGAAAGTTTACATATAGAACAGACAGATATTTCCCATTCCATCCTGACCCCCCATACGACTATAAAAGAAAAAGGAACATTCAGAGAAAAAGAGTCTGGGCTATTGCTATGGTTTGAGTGTTTGTCCCTTCCAACACTCATGTTAAAATTTAGTTGCCATTATAATAGTATTAGGAGGTGGGACCTTTAACAGGTGATTAGGCCTTGAGAGCTCTGTCTTCATGGGTGGAATTAATGCATCTTAAAAGGGCACGTTTGGCCCCCTCTTGCTCTTCACCCTCTCACCTTCCGCCATGTGATGACACAGCCCAAAGGCCCATGCCAGGTGCTGGCATTATAACCTAGGAATTCTGAATCGCTCAAAATATAAGCCAATGGGTTTTTTGTTCTTTACAGGTTACACCGTCTGTGGAATTCTGTCACCGCAGCACAAAATGGACTGAGAAATTTCAATAATAATGGCAGAAATAAAACATTCAGTAGAAATTTTAAAGAAAATGTCGAAAACTTCTGGCAGTAGAATAGGAAGGCCAAGAGGCAGCAAATAAGAGGGAAAAAAAAGGAAACTAGAGCATTAACCCAAGAGGTACAATATGCAAATAAATGTAATAATGCCAGGGAAAGTACATAGAAAACAGAGAATTTCCCCAGAACCAAAAGACTTGAATTTCCAGATGAAAAGAGACCCTTGAGTACCTAGCACAGTGGAGGCAAACAGACATGCACAAAGACACGTCAGCAAAACATTTCAGAACACCAGGCATAAAGAAAAAAAATCCTAAGCAGTTCTAGAAAGAAAACCAAAATGACATGCATAGGAGTGGGAATGGCCTCGGGACTTTTCAGCCACAACGCTGCAACCCAGAACACACTGGGATAATTTCTTCAAAATTTTGAGAGAAGATGACTTCCTAGAAGTGTGGGCTTCTAAGAAGAGGGGGGAGACTCCATATGCTTTCAGGTGTAAAATGTCTCAAGAAATTTATGTCCCAGATATTGTTTCTCAGGAATCTACTAGAGGATGTGCTTATTGAAACAAGGAAGTAGACCGAGGAAGTAGAAGGGATGTGGTTCAGAAACAGGAGATAAGCCCAGCAGGGTACAAAGGGGCTTCCCAGGATGAGGATGAAGGAAGATTCTAGATGGCAACTGGACAGTACCAGATAGGAAGTCAGAAATCTCCAGAGGGCATTCTTTCCAAAGTGGGAAAGAGCAAGTGTTTATTTCTTTGAGCTCTGTTCAAAAATTTGGTCCAGTGTTAGTAGTAAGTACATAAAAACAAACAAAAAAGATACAAAAAATGTAGTGTACTACGTAATTCAATTGTGAGTATTTTGATCATTGTAAAAGCTGAATGATGATTTAATTTAAAAGATGTTATAAACCATTTTGGAGAATGGAAGGAGGATTAGTGTGTACATGTTACTGGGTGGCTGAGGGTCAGATCTTTATCTCCTGAGCAGGAAGTAGAAATATTAATTATATAAGTATTGCTTATTATCTACGTGTGTATATATATCCAAATAACCTATATATAGTATAAGCATAGAATCTAGAAATGTGGAGCTAAACAGCAGAAGAACTAGCTAAAGCTATTGAAAATGGCTGTTTCTGGAGAATCAGGTGAAGAGGGTGTTGTCAGGAGGCTATTGTTTCATAATGACCCTTGGAGTAATATCTGACTTTCCAAACTATGTACTTGTATTACCTTCATTAAAAAATTATTGAAATCATATATTATTGAAAGCATATGTCTATACAAATGTTCATAGCACCATTAGTCATAATATTAAAAAAGTAGGCACAATCAAAATGGCCATCAGCCAGTGGAACAATGATATAATGTGGTATGTTCTTCTATAAAAAGGAGCAAAGTTCTAACACATGGGCCTTGAAAACATGCTACATGGAAGAAGCTAGTCATGAAAGATCATGTTTCTGTGATTCCATTTGATGCAATGTCTAGAATAGGCCACTCTACAGAGTGAGAAAGTTAATTAGTGGTTGCCTATGGCTGAGAATTTGGGAAATGGGGGTAGAGGAAAGTAACTGGTAATGGGTACAGAGTTTCTTCTTGGGATGATGAAAGCATTCCAAAGTTACATAGTGTAATGGTTGCACAATTCTGTTAATGATAAAACCCACCAAATTGTGTAGTTTTAAAGGGTGAATTTCATGGAATATGAATCTTTTCAGTAAGGCTATTATTTGAAAATGGAAGAAAATCCAAAAATAATATCTAATTCCTAGAGTTGTTGTGAGGAATAAATGAAATCATGTATGTGAGGGGTCTAGTCCAGAGCCTGGTATAAACATTCAAAGACTAGTTCACACTCACATAGTGGTTACTATGTGGCAGGTGCTCAGTTCTCACATGTGTCAGTCCTCTTTTTAAATGAGGACCTGAAGCCAGTGAAATTAAATAATTTGCCCAAGGTCACATGACTATTACAACAGTAGAGCTGGTTGTGCTGGGGTTGTGGCCCAGTGGTAGAGTGCTTGCCTGGCATGTGGGAGGTACTGGGTTCGATCCTCAGCACCACATAATGATAAGTACATAAAATAATGTGTCCATCTACAACCAAAAAATATTTAAAAAAAAAAAAAAGAACAGTAGAGCTGGGGTATGACCTAAGCGGCTGGTCCGGTATCTACACCCAACCATGCCCTCCCTTGCTCATGTGGCACGCCTCCTGGGCCCCCAGTGGGAGTTGGAACTGTGCGTTCACATTGGCCGTCCACTCTCCATCTGTTATGGTTCTGAGCAGACTGCTGGCATTTGGCCTTTCTATATGTCTATGTCCTCGACTATGTGGACATTCTAGCAAGCCAGGGACTGTGTCCATCTCTGCTGTCTTCATCCCCAGCCCATTGTGTGTTGGGGGCAGTAGAGAAGAGCCAGGAGTTTGTCCTGAAAGTGAGGAAGAGGAAGTGGGGAGAGGTAGAGGAGCTAGAAAAACATTAGATAATTAATGGCACAAGGCTTCTAAGGAAGTAGAAGGTAAGATTAAGACCATAAGGAGGAACCGGTGACCTCAGGAGAAGGAAGAACCCTTCTAGAAGGGGAGGGATGGTGGATCTTGTGAGCCTGGAAGGTGCTAGATAAGGAGGTGCCCACCACATCATTTGGCTCTTCTCAGTGAGTAAGAGGCACCAGAGGCATCTTGGACCAGGAAAGTTTGTAGAAGGATGGAGAAGATTGAGGCATGAGGACAGACTTTAGGTGCCCAACCTTTTGGGGTCAGTGATTTCTTAAAAGGGTGATGAATAAATACGTTGGCCCTTTGTTCATGTATGCGTCATTATACATGTGATTTAAGCATCTGTGGGTCCCAGGCTGAGGACGCCTGCTCTCTGAAATTAATGAAACTGAATAAAAGTATTTCTGGGAAGCAAGACGAAGTTCATCAGCTTGAATTTACAGAAGTCCAAGCCTGTTTCTGTGACCTTCTTCGGCAACATTCAGAGACTGGAGAGTAGGGTGACCTAGTATTTGGGACTGAAATTGGGACTTTGGAACAAGCCGTGGGGGTGGCATGAAGTCACGGGGGCACAAGAGGAATGTAAGGAAGGAAAAGCAGAGGCCAGTGGAGAAGTGGGAGAGATGGCAGTAGAATCTTGTGGAGATTTCTACTCTGGGTGCAGGCCATGATGGTATGAGCTCCCTATAGAGAACCTAAAAACAACTCTAAAACCAAAGCCAGTCTTCGGTTTATGATCACAGTGCACAAGCTATTTAAAACACCAGCCATGACTAAATATTCTTCTCAGAAAAAGTCTGCATCTAAGACCTAAGCAACTGTCTGCTCTAGGTAGGTTTACACCACTAAGAGGCAGATAATGAGATTAAGATTGAGGGATGGGGCGGGGCTCAAAATGGTGAAGGCCCGGATGTGGCTGAGGGCAGCCAGATGATGTGGAGTCAGAGTCGAGCTGATACTCTGTCCCCTGGCTGCTTGTAAGCAACACCCAATTCAATGGCTTTCATCTTTGACAAGCTAAACATTGTTTGAAATCCTAAATCTTTCTTTTCACTTGAACCATCTGCTAGTCATATAGCTAGGTGTGTTTGATTATCTTCAAATGTCAACTCTGCTCAAATCTGCATCTGCATCTTATCACTTATAGAGTCCTCTCTTATAGATGTCATTTATTTGCTTACATGCTTTTCTTCTCACAGGACTTTGTTCTCTCTGAGATCGGTGATTGTGCCTTCTTTGTCAGCCAACAGTTCTGATAGGCACTCGCACGCTGCTGGAACCCAAATGCACAAATATGTTTTGCTCTTCTTTGTAGATTCCTTGGGTCTCAGATGACTGGGCACCAGTAGATACAGAATGCTGCTGCTTTCCCTCTCCCAGGTAAATGATCTGCTTATCTGTTCCTGTTGATGAAGCATGACTGTTGGACCCTCATTCTATCCTGAGATCACAAGAATGTGGAACAAGATGAGGGAGATCTGTAGTCCCCACAACTTCACCCTTCAGGCCATTAAGACACCATGCAGAGTCCTCTAAAGGACCCTGAATGAGGAGTTTCCACAGAGTGGATCCCACCAGCATTTTGCTGCTTTGTAGTAGGACCAGTCCTGTGAAGGTGACACATGGGTGTTCCTCTGATTTCCTGAAAGAATTCAGGAGCTTCCTAAATCCTTTCTATAACTTATTCATTGGGAGTAATTATGCTGCAGAGAAAACAGGTTCTCATTCACCTCCTTAGTCTTCCCTGGGGAACCATTGCTCTCTGTCTAGAACCATATAAAAAAATGGACTGGATTTCCAGCATTCCCCTTGTTCTCCCCACTGTCTTCCCCTAGATAGTCCCTGTGTACTTCCACGTAAACATCTCTACACCACTGGCTAATGGAGAAGATAAGTCAGAACAGTTTGGTTTAGCATTTGAGGTCAAAAGCAGGAATTTTCTAGAGAAGAAATCCAAAAAGCAAAGTAGTCTAAGGGCAGCCCCCCAACTGGTCTTGACAGGGTCCGTGGCTCCTAGCAAAAGCATGGGTCCTTATAGAGTAATCAGATACCTTCAACTACCCATCTGACTTGGGAACCCAGCCAGATGGTATATCCTCATTGCTAAACAGCAGATTTACTACATAGTTTCTGGGCAATGTGTAGACTATGCTTAATATTAAGTCAAGGTGTTACACAGTTTTTACAACCAACATGAGCACATGAAGATTTTCCATTTGAAGATAAGAATTTGTCCTCAAGAGAAGCATCTGGGATTTGGACATAGAATGAAGCTTCCCTCACAACCCTGCTAAGTTTATAAAATCTGCATTTAAAAAAAAAAATCTGGTCTGTATGAAGCTACCCATTTAATGGTAGCAACTGCCTGTGTGATCTGTTGTTCTTTATAGGGAACATCTAAATAATTGAAATCTTTAATTGGGTTAAAGAGATCCTTAGCACATAGGTGTGCTATAAATAAAAGAATGCGTAAATAATATAGTAACCTTTGCTTTTCAGGTCCTTCTCTTAAAGAGATCATTCTGTTTTTTGGTTTTTTTTTGGTACCAATAAGATCATTGTTAGGGGACTCAAGAGGGCTTTGGTTTCAGCCGGGGCGGGGCTTTCCCAAGGAAATCCCTTTCGCTTTATCTCAGGTGTTCGGCCACATTTTTCCTTGGTGCTTTCAGTAGAAATGAATAATTTGCTAACTCTGCTGTAAGTAGGTAAACACCTGGGCTTTACTTTTGTAACTAGGCTCAGTCAAAAAAGTCAAGGTAGCTGGCTGGCCTTCATTTGCTATCTGCGATCAGAAAGGCTTAAGTAGTCCAGGGCTCACTTAAGAGTCAGCTGGAAGAAAAAGGAAGAGAAGGAGATAGAAAAGTGCTGCAGAGGAAGTGGTAGAACATCCGCATTTAGTGTGACCTGTTCTGTCAGGTGATTATTTTAGGGGGAGGGGACATGAAAAAAAAAAGTTAAGTAAAATGTCCTTATAAAGACAAAATCTATTTCTTTCCTGGCTGATGATTTGTCACTCTAGTCACTTCCTGCCTTGTGACCACACACCCGGGCTTGACAAAGCTGTACTGCAGTTCAGAAAGAAGGGGGTTTCTGGTCACACACCAGGACGAACAAGGAGTTCTTCTACAAGGTAAATTTTGTTCATGTCCTTTTGTCCTTTGTAACTGCTTGTGAGGTTGTTGGGCTGTTTCTGGGGATTGTGGCTTCGGCCTCCAGGGGAGATCTGAGCACCTGTCTACTGAGTCCTCTGTGTACCCTGCCTCCTGAACTGCTCAGGAAGTCTGCAGCCACATTGTGTGGTGCCCAGGATGGGGACCATTTGCTCTTTGAATTGGGCTCTTCTCAAAGTTTATCTGCAGTTTATCACTGCCCCCAAACTATGAGGGGTTTTTTTCTCCCCTTTTAAAACCAAACCATGTTCTGATTTATATCCATTGCTTTATTTCAGGAAGGCTATTTACTGTGATTTTATCTACTTTAAAACATTTTCAGGAAAGTGCATATTGATCATTTGGATTGCACTGCTCATTAGCCTAATGGGGGTAGGTTAATTTTAGCTCCTGTGGTTCTGTTTTTCTAAAACAAACAAACAAAAAAACCTTCTTTATGATACTTTAGTGGCTATATTAACATCTCAGGTCATATGTTACCAAATGTGATACAAGTTATTTGAATGATTTTTGGCAGCAAGGGTTTTTTAATGGGTGTGCTTAATAACCACACAGAATTAGAGGTCTTCTCCTCTCCCTTTATTCTCTAAAAATAAAAGCAATTTTTGTTGCTAAATTATACTGTTTTTGTCAACTAGTCTGAATTATTTGTTAATATTTATGGCCATACAAATGAACACTCAGTGAGATTCTGGAGCAAAGCCTTCTATTACAATAGATTATTCTTATACAGTTGATTTGGGATATTCATTCCAGAAACTTCACTGAGCATGGATATTTTGCATTTTGTAGCATCAGCTTTTATTTGTCAGTATCAAATAAACCTAAGAACCTTTGACAGATGATAAACATAAAAGCTATAGAGACTGGAAATGGATGCATTAATCAGCATACTTATCAAAACCCAATGTTTCTTAATCGAGTAACTTGTTTTCCATAATTACTCCCTCTGGGCAACTTTTTAAAAAACTCTCTGTAAACAGAAAGAAGTGGCTTATCCACACACATCTCAATTTTGAATCTGTCAAGAATTATCATAATTCTTTAAGTGACTAGGCAAAATTGCTGAAAGAATGTCTGCAGGAAAATTTGAATGGAATTTACCATTTACTTATAAATGTGAAATTCTGGTTACATTGCAAAATGTGACCATCAATATCATTTTGTACATCTCATCTGAGTCGTAGTAAACTAGAAAACATGTGGGATTGCCAGAAGTTTAAACCTCAGAAAAGATTAAACACTATGCTCTCTTATTGTAACTAAAAAGAAGAAGAAGAATATAAATTAGGACATAAAGGAATGTCAGCACTTTTTTTATATTTGGGAAGGAATATAAAAAATTTAATTCAAATCAAGTTTATATTGCCAAAGCATCAAACTGGTATGCTATAAGGTATCTCTTCTTTTTATTCCCTCTCACCCCAGTAAAGTAAGGAAAGGGCGAATCAGCTACATCCTTTGCCTTTTGAAGAAATTGCTATGGTAGAATGGACAGGTGTTTGGGAGGACATTTCATTAGCAATCCCAGGGATGTTTTTCTCTGTAGCATTTAAAATTTTTATCTTCTTTGCAAATTATGCCTTGAAACAATCATTAATGAGAGAAACAATTTCAGTGTTTTAACTTCATTTATAATTCTATCTCTGAACCCTCTGTGGAAGGGAAAGTCAACAAGTAAAGTCTCATTCAAATGTGTGCATTGATGTTAGGACAGGAAAAGGACCTATGTGGACTCCCAAATCTCTGGATGCTCCAGACCTTTATATAAAATTGCATGGTATTTGCGTAGAACCTACACATCCTCCTGTGTGATTTAAATCATCTCTAGATTGCTTATGATACCTAATGCATTGTAAATGCTATGTAAATAGTTGCTATATTGTATTATCTAGGCAACAGTGATAAGAAAAAAAAAATCTCCACATGTTCAATACAGATGCAAGTTCTTTTTAGAAGACTTGCGATCTGAAGTTGGTGAAATCCGTGGATGCAGAACCCATGAATGTGGAGGGCTGACCATAATGGTAATCCTTGATATTTATAAGGCCTTAGTGTGTGCATCTGCTCTTGGTGTATGACCTTGTTGAATCTTCTCAACTACCTTTTTAGAGATGAGGAATGGGCTTAGCTCTTAAAGGAGCTGACCCCAGGTCACTGTTGGACAGTGGCCAGGATTTCAAGCTCTGGGCTCCCTATATCAGTTCCCAGAGCCTCTCTTCATTGTGCAGCATGCTTACTCCAGGTGTAGAGGAGTACAGACTTTCATTACTGAAACTGACCAAAGAAGTCTTGGCACTTGGTTTTGAGAGGTAGGGAGGGAGAAAGAGGAGACAGAAACAGAAACAGAAAGAGAAGGTATTTATAAGAAATCCAGAAACATTTTCATTTTTATAAATAGATATCATTGCAGATTTCATATCATAATAGAACAAAGAAGTATCTTATTAATGAAAAACTCTACTAAAAAAATTTTTGCCTTCACAAACTTGCCTTAACCCACTTCCCCAACCTTATTTCTTGTCACTTCCTTCTGCTGTGGCTCTCCCCTCCCCCCGTGTGCCTACCCACATTCAGCACCAGACCACAAGCCACTGGAAAGTTCTATACTCTTTCACTCCTTTTCACTCCAACTGTTTCTTTAATTGCTTTTTCCACCTTTATCAGTAACATTTCTGATCATTTTTCAAGGCTCACTTCCAGAAACATACCCCTTCAGTGGTCTTCCCTATTGTCTCTACCCACCCCCCATCCCCCAACTAATGGGTGTGTGTGCGTGTGAGTTTGCTTGGTACATTTATCTTAGTATAACTATAATATTTTCTCTGTCTTCTGGCACAGTGTAGGTGCTAATGATATTTATTGAAATGAACATTTGTCACAAGTACTTTTTATCAGCTTGTTACATATGCATGGAAGTCTTTGATTTGACTTCTAGCTACTGAGCTCCCACAGTGATTGCTATGATGGAAGACACAGCTGTCATTGAATGAGTTTTGTCTAACATGCTTCATCTTTGCCAAAGCACTATTCTACTTTCTAGCCTCAAGGCATCAAATGGACATTGAGCTCAAGAGTTTTAAGAATTTATAAAATAGGGCCGGTGGTATAGTTTGGTGGTAGAGCTCATGTCTAGCATGTACAAAGCTATGGGTTTGAGACAAAAGAAAGAAAAAAGAGAAATAAAGAGGAGAAAATTAAAAGAATTATACAGTACCTTGGCATACAGGAAAAATTATAACCTCATCGTTTTAGTGTAAATAGTTTTATTAAGCTAAAAATTAGCTATTCTTACAAAAACTATGTACCCAGTAATAGGCTTTGATGACAAAGAGCACAAGAACAAGTATCAATAATTTCTACTTAGTCTCTTTGGGTTATCTTTAAAAAATTCTCAAGGCAACTTCTTGTTTTTGTCTAACATGCTTCATCTTTGCCAAAGCTCAAGGCATCAAATGAACACTGAGCTCAAGAAATTTAAGAAAGAATACAGGAGAGTACAAGAGTACAGGAGAGACGGAAAACACACTTTAAAATCAGGTTGGGTAAAATAAAATTAAGAAATATGCTCAGAAGATTATATTTATGAAGAGCCAGAAGATTATGAAGTCAGATTATAAAGATGGTGGACTTTAGGACTAATAGCAGATTTTATAGCAGAGTAACATCATTTGGATTAATTTGTCTCTCTAGAGTTGTTGTGTTTTTTTTGTTTTTGATGGGGAAGGGGGTAGTTTTGGTAGTTTCCCAGCTCACAAATATCCAGTGAAATTATACCATTCTGAGAACTACAGAAATTAAACTTAGAATTAGGGTTCATCAAAATATAAAAATAGTCAGTGTCACAAATTTGAAGAGTTTCAAATATTTTGCCGGATGGAAATGTACTTCTTAAATCAAAAGCATCGATGCTTCTTTGTGTTTACATTTTAAAATCCCAATGTTTCCTCCTGATTAGATGCTTGTCTCTTAGGGAATCCCCCTCCAGTTAGCATCTCCTTGTCCCTTTCCTCAGTTCCCTTCTGATTCCACTTCCTGTCTTATACCAGAGACTCTTCCCGTTGTTTTGGTTTGTCAATTTCAACTATTACATTAGTCTTCCCAGCAATTGCATAATCACTTCATCTTGTAAAATACTGTAAGCAACAGGTGGGAGAGGAGTTTCAATTTATTGCCCAAATAATAACAGCTCATACTTACCACGCTACCTGCTTTGAGTTGGGCACTTTTTCTAAGTGCTTTAACCATGTTAGTTACACTTCCAGCCCTTTCTATTTTTTATTTTGAGACAGGGTCACCAGAAGTTGCTGAGGCTGGCCTTGAACTTGTAATCTTCCTGCTTCAACCTCCTGAGTTGCTGGGGTTACAGACATGCACCGCCACACCTGAATTATTTAATTTTCTACAGTTGAGTCAGTGTGACATCACCTATCGAATTCTAGGGCAACCTTCTGGAATAAACAGGCAGTAAACCATGATGCTTATGTGGGCCAAACTCCTCAAGTTGAGTTCAAATAGTAATAATGTCCCCAAAGAAGTGCATTCATATGTCATTGCTTCTATGAGACAGACTATTCTGGGTTGGCAGCAGTAGCAGGAGGAGCACCAACAGTAGCACCACTTGGTCCTTCAATGCACTTGACTCAGTATTTGAGTTTTACTAACTTGTAGGCCTTGAATGTGTCATAAAACGTGACTTCCACTCTCAAAGGCTTTAAAAGGATCTTCATCCTTGAAGTTTAGCATAATTTTAGTCAAATGGCATTTACATTTTCTAGTCTGTTGTGACCCATAGTCATGAATAAATCAAACAGTTTTTCATTTATACCCAAGTACATCTATCTGTCATTGCACAGTAAATGGCCAAATATAAGTGTTCTAAAAACTGAAAGAATAAAAGGTCATTTTAATTGTGAGTGGAAGAATAGAGATAAAAAGTAACCCACATACTAAGTTAAAA